TCCCACAGCCCCCCTCCCCCATCTCAGGTTAAACTAGTGGGAAGCTCTCCCTCTTCTATGACTGGGAGGGTTAAAAGATACCTAAATTGTTGTCTCTCACCAGTGAAAATGTGCATACAAATACAGTGGCTAATTTGGAGTCTCCTTTAAAACAATCTTCCTTCTGCACCTCTCCAGCCAGTGCACCCTTACACAGCCTCAAGAGCAGCTCATAGGAGACGTCAAAGGTCAAACTGCCTTAGGAGCTCCCACAGCATCTTTATTGTTCTTATTTATCAAGGCAGGTCAATAAGGTGAAGTTTCCCCTGCTCTTTATGTGCCTATAGTGTGCTCAATGCCATGCCGGGTGTAAAACAGCCCTTGCCACGAAGACTTCACAATGCCAGGCATCATCTTTTGTTACAGATTTAACTCGGGTTGGCTGCACTGGAGACAGCATAGCCCTCCTGCAAAACATTGTGCCATTCACAGCTTCAACTGTCACTGTAAAGCAACGTCATAAGCAACTGCCCAGTGGTGCAACTTAAAGCTTTTGCTAGCATGCCCCAATGGTCCCGTCATCTCAAGAAGGAAGTGCTACCGCCCCCAAAATAACATGCATGTATACATGTGGGAACAGGGGATGGGTCTTGACTTATGACCAATACTCACAGCATAAATTTTGAGTTATGAGTGAAAGAAGAAGACAGTCAAGAAAAGAAAATGCTTCCAACATTAAGGGTTTAGTGACACTGATGCTAGCAGATATAGCTTCATAAACAGTCTTGCTGACAAAGTTCAAAATCAGGTCCATGAACAAAATCAGCTGCACTGGCACAAATACCGGGGACTTTTGCTAGTGTAACTGCAGCTATGCTAAAGTTTAGGAGTGTTGAAGTGATGTTGCTGTGATGGTCCAGATGTGAGAAGCAAGAATTCTTGTGGGCGATATCATATTGGACCACGAGTACGGTTGGTAGGCACAGGCAAGCTGTCAGGTATCACAGTATCACAAGCCTGAAGAAGAGTATTGTCATACGCAAAAGCTTGCCTATACTCAGTACTGCAGCTCCCTGGGGTGCCTTGAGAGCCTTGCAAGGGTGCCAAACAATGTTACCACTGTCAGGTGTGCAAACATGACTTATAAGATTAATCCAGAGATCTCAGATAGGAATCTTTAGTGTTAAATCCATGTTGTGGACTTTGAGTTCTCTGCAACAGAAGAATTGCTTCATTATTTTTCTGTAGAAAAAAAAAAAAAAGAATGGAAACTAAGGGCTGGCATTTTCTGAGGGGTCTTGTCTATTGAGAGGTGCCTTGTGTCTGGAAAAGTTGAGACCCACTGGTCTAGACCAATCATACAGCTGATCCAATAAAAGGTATCACCCACAAGAATTCTTGCCTCTCAGTGTAGGGGTATGATTCTTCCTCCTATGAACTGAAATGGCTTAAATTCAGACAAGACATAAATCACCACTTTGCTCTAAAAAGACAATAGCTTTTTGAGACAGAGATTCCACAACGCATTAATTCTTGCAGGAGACACGAGCACCCCAGGTGTCACAAGCCAGTGACCAAATGCAGTCCAGTGGCAAACTCTATTCAAACACTCCTTGTCCTAAATTTGTCCTCAGAGTCAAGCAGGGATGCAAACACAAATCTCAACTTCCATTGGACAGAGTCATCTTTCCAGGGCTCATAAGAAAGAAGGCTGGAAATGTGACCTATGAACCTACACCTTGAGGAAGCAGACAGAGGGTTAAACTACTCTGATCATTTCAGTGGGGCATTCACTGTGAAACCAGGGCTGCCCTAGTAGTGGCACAAGAGCAGCGGGGATTTTAGTGTTAACAGCTCACCAAGGTGAATGGGGTCCTACCCACCTATCTGATGGGTAAACGACTATGCAAGGGCCTGGTTACCATCACTCCTCCCAAAAGAGAGCTTCGCTGATGCGTCTCTGCAAGCGTGCTTAGTTCTATACCCCCTTGTTGTGACACTCCCCACTTCCCACCCCCCAACTCTTTCTGAGGCATCTCTACCTGTAGACTAAGTGGATGAAGGACCTGGTACCCCAGGGCAAGATTGTTGGTCCTGCAAGACTTGATGGGCCAAGCGCTTATTGCAGATGTGTCAGTCAGGGAACATGAGAGCCACAAACCCAGCGGACCCTGAATGAACTATGCCACTATTATGCCAAGTAGGGGCAGGGCTGTAGGGATCCGTAGGAAAGGATGCACCTATGCCCTGGCTGCATTTCAAAAAAGGGTGCAAAGCAGCAAGAGAAAGAGACAGACTATTATAATTCCAAGACGGACATACAGAACCTGAAGGGAAAGTAGCTACAATAAGGATGTATTGAAGGAAATGGACCAAAGAGTTGGACTCGAGGTAAATCCACTCAGTTAAGTGACTTTCAGCATGATCAGGACAAGTGCAGCAGCAGTAAGGTGACCTCAGAGACAGATCCCCAGTACATCCAGTTTTCTCATTCTGGTCCCAAACCCATCAGCATATCACAGAAACATAATGAATTCTAATACATTAACTCTGCTTTGCAAACAAGTTTAGGAGTACAGGTTTGAATGATTTTTTTTTTTTTTAAAATACCAGTACAATCATTTAAGTTGAAACCAGGACAGAGATGTAAAGAGCTCATCTGCCATGCAGTCATTGAGAAACAGCTCCATACAGTTTATTCTGGAATAAAAAGCTGCAAATACACAGTTGTTCCTGGATAGCCATAGTGCTACAAATTCAAACCCTACTTCCATTCAAACAACTTTCAATGTTTGTTCTGCTTCTCCGGTGCGGCTACCTAATATGATACAATCAGAGCTCGTAGTAGAGATATCTTTTACATATCAGACAAACAAAACTTTTGCAAAAAATTTCTTTAATTGCAAGCTTTCAGGCACAAACACCCTTCATCAAGCATTGGAGTTTGATGAAGGGTGTTTGTGCCCAAAAGCTTTCAATTAAAGACTTCTTTTGCAAAAATCTTGCTGGTCTAATAAAAGATATCATCTGTACCATGAGCCCTGATTGCTTTTCCTCTGGGCCAATATGGCTACAACCTGGCTACCCAATATGATGCAATGCACACCTCTCTGCCATCATTAACCAGATTCACACCAGAACTGACTATATTGCCATGGTTAAAATGGTGTAAAAGTAGTGAAATATTTGTGTTTCGACAAGCCTGGCAGTTGTCCTAATTGATACTCTATTTATTTATGTAAAAGGGCAAGCTGAGGAAGTGCCAAAGTAACTGCTAACAATGGAACATCACCACAACCCCACAAGGAAACAGCAATCAAGATCAGTTTCTGAAAACATTTATAGCAGGATGACAATTTTACAGTACAGAAGGGGCTTAAAAATGTAACAGTCTTTGGATTCCAGCGGGAGCCCATCTGATGCACATAAACAAGAGCGGCTCAGCCACACTGGCCCAACCAGCCCCACACAAGCCCTGCCTGTTTCTCAGAAGATAGCTAGAGGCTTTTAGTGTTCCTTTGCTGTTCTCTGCACGCAACAGAAATGCCAGGCCGCTGTACATGCAGCAATATTCACTTTAATCTACTGGAAAGGCAAATGGTTTAGAACATGCCTGAATTATTCCACTTCAGCTCGGCACTGAAACGTGAGTGAACCACGTGCATCACATCCCACCCTTTGGAAATCCCTTTTACTCCAGCAAAACTCCTTACAGGTCATGGGACTGCCCATGTCTGCTGTTACACATTGCAAATGCATCCTGAGAGATGCATGCTATTTACATGAGGTTACAGTTATGCTATTTCTAAGCTTTTCGATTTAAAATTTGATTCCCGTTGTCCCGTACCAACATTGACTCTTCCTGATACTCAGGACAGTGAAAAACACATGCAAAGAAGTGTGGGAAAAAGCACTCCTATTTCTTTAGGCTGCTACGATGCCAGTCATCAAAAATAACCAAGATCTATACGTACACATTTACCTCTGCTGGTCATCCAAAGTTTTGATACGGCTCACAGCACGGGCACCTCCCCAGCAGCAGAGTACCATGCTGGCACTGCATTTATCCATTATCATCCCATTTCACTGCAGGAATAGCACCCCTCCCCCAACACCCAACCAAGTAAAAGACTATTAAAAATAGTAATAATGTCTTCTCTGTATTCCCACAACAAATTATGCTTTTGCAGGAGCATGCTGGAAAATTCACTCTGGAGGGTGAAACAAAAATCTCTCTCCAGACTGACTGGGGGGGAGAGCTTTTAGAGTACCGCCAGCCAACAGCGCCCGGCATTGGCATATGCCCCAGAGAGGAGACAGGCATTTCCACGTTTATTTATTAAGGTAGTGCCATTAATAGCTAAGTGGTTGATGTTGTCTGCTGGAGCAGGACGCAGGAAACAATTTAGGAGAGATGGAGAGGGATCACAGGATGTTTCTGGTGATTTCCCTGCAGATAAGGGCTCCTGGGTAGCGCAGGCGTTTTGCTTGCATTAGAGCACCGGTTTCTAAGCGGATACTCGGGTCATCTGGAGAAAGGCCTTGCATTTGTCCCAGGGGAAGCCTTGCAACCCAGCAGCCGATGGGGGTCTCTCGGTGCCACGGGCCCAGGGGAAGGCGCCCTGCTCCCTACCCGCCCGCGGCGCCTCCCCTGCTTCCCCAGCCATTGTCTGCCCTTCCTGCTGCAGGCACCGCTTCCTACCCGGGCCGCCCGTGCTCGTTTCACGGGGGGCGGTCCCGAGAGCCTCCCTTGCTCCGCTCCCCGCCGGAGTCAGCACAAACCCTCCCCGTCCTTTGTACGGCGGGATCCGAGCGAGCGAGCGAGGAGGAACCTCCCAGCCCGCCTCATACAAAGCGGGAAGGCAGGTAACGCGCTCCCCGGGGCTGCCGGCCCCTCCCAGCAGCGTGGGCCGTCACTACCGCCATCGCCTCATGGAGGATCCCCCGGGCGGCTCGGTTCCCCTTCCCCGAGAGGCCTCCTTACCTCCGCGCGATCTTGTACAGCAGCAGCCCGGCGCCCACGGTGACCCCCACCCCCCCGGCCAGGCCGGCGGCGGGGCAGGCGGCCAGCAGCGCGCCGACTGCCTCCATGC